TCAAGCCAATATCACTTAAACCAAGGAGATAGATACCTTGGTTTAAGGAGATATCACTTAAACCAAGGAGGCACCTAATGAGTTTGCAGAGCTGGCCCCTGGGGCAGGTCTGTGCTCCCAGTTCGGTGTTGGGGCATTTCCCCATCTCACTGGAGTGCTGAAGGTGGCAGAGCACTGAGATACTCTGTTAGCAGGAGCCACACACATTGAGCAGGACAGATCTACTTAATTAATTAGCCAAGTAGCCTCAACTTTCATTGCACTTTAAGACAAAGAACCACCAGCTCTGCTCCACATCCTGCATTTTCCCCTCCTTTTCAGCCTTCACATCCAGCTCTTGGCACTTTTTGGAGCACCCCAACCTTGCAGAGAGGGCAGAGGCACTGCAGCAGCTTACGTGGGTGGAATAGCTACCTCRAATGGCTGTGGCTTCTCAATGCAGAGTGGCTGGTGTTTCCTGTTGACGGTAGGGCTGGTTGCATACAGAGCCTCCTTTCAGTCCTGGAGGAGTCATTGAAAATAGGCTCCGCCACCAAAAGCATTGAGCACAAAGGCTGCTGGCTTCACACCAGGCTTGCTTCTGAATCCCTCTTTCTGCAGAGATTAATGGGAACCAAAAAGGGAGACCTAGCACAGACTGTCAATGACGAGCGTTTTGTGGATGGGGGCCACTTCAGCCTTCCCATGGCATCCTGGGCCATCTCCATGGGATAAAAAAAGAAAAAAACCTTCTTCAGGGTTGATATGTATGGTAACCCCTGCCCAAATGTGCTGCCCATTTGTCCTTGGGGCCATCTCCTGCTCCAATCGTTCCTTCTGTATCTAGTGGCTTTTGAGGGCAAGTTGTTCATGGCAAACTGGGCTCCAAGCCCAACGTCTCGCTGAGAAAGGTATCATCTCCTTCGTGCCACCTCACTTCTYTACTCTGCAGATGAGAGCTGTGTGCTACACTGTGCTGGAGAGTTCATTTATGGGTGTCCTTCTTTAAGCAATGCTTGCACTTGGTGCACCAATGACTGCTCTACAACAAGTTGCCAAGTTCCTCACCCTCCATTCAGGGGACATTGTCCTTCTTTCTGAATCTTTTTTCTTTCCTTTTTCTTTTTTTTTTTTTTTTTTGATCAAAGTCTTTTTAGATTTTGATTACTTCCTAAACTGTTAAGGACTTTAAACCGACCTTTTGTATTCTTTCTGTCAAACCAAGGCACCCTTAGCTCTGAGGGAGAGGGGGTGACTGTTTAAGCCTCAAACTGCATCTATGCTGTCTCAGTGTAAATATTTGCTTTACAAACTAAGGCATATTCTGCTAGGATTGAAATGTTCAAATAGAACACAAAGATCAAAATTTCAAGTTGAAATTTTCAGGAAAATTCAGGACTTACATGTCAACAAACTTTGTCTGGTGTTTGCATATCTAGGAACATCTGTTTTTCTCAGTTTTGCAAGTCTTACATTCTTAGTGTGCCGTCTGATATTGCATGAACCACAGGGTGAAAAATAGTAAACAACTCAGAGAACTTCAGCTGCTGCCTAGTGCTGAGACCAGTGACCTGAGAAGGCTCTTTGCATTCAGGGCAAGCTCCCCCAGCTTTTGCCTTGCAGCACTTTTGAGACAAAGCAAATGGGAAACACTGTGTGAAATCCAACAGCYGGACAACTGCTTTTGTGTCCACACTCACAACTCGGTGCTTGCACTCTTGAAGACCTGCATAGGTCCTAAAACTAGGATTTAAACCCTATCACTCCAAACTGGAAAACAGTTTATTTTACATCAAAAGGGAATTTGCAGCTGGGTAAGAGCTATGAATGACTTTGACGATCCCACCATTGTAAGGAAAAAATGAAACCASTCACATCAACCTTGCAATAAATCTAACACATTTCCACCCTCCTCTTTCTTTTCACAAGAATATTTAAGGCTAGAGGGACGTCTAGGGTAACTGCTATTATCTCTGCCCACCAGTTCCCAGCTGCCTATTGCAACCCTTAATCTGAATTAATCAGTGCTGGCTCATCCTTTCAGATGGGGTTTGCGTCCCTGAGCAGTAGTCTCTTGTAATGCTATCATCTCCTGCCAGCTGAACAGTTAAATGCAAAGATAATTTTGCTGTCTCCCAGGGCTGCAACATAGCAATGCTCTGTCACATCCATGCTGGTTTTTTTTTTTCATCTCTGTGCACTAAAAACAACAATTACCATGTGTGCAAATAAGCCTCGACTCATTAGAGTAAGCTCATACAATAGGCATGAAATGATAGCATGGAGAAACAGGAGTGAGCTAAAAAACCTAAATAAATAAATRAAATGTGGGTTTGAAAGACTGAAATTGCATCTTGAGGACAGAGAACAGTGAATAGTTTCTATAACCAGTGATAGTTTAGTGATGGCATAGAATACCTTGTGGGTCCCTGTGCAAGGTCCTCGACAGCTCCAAGGTCAAGTTCTTCCAGGTTCAAGTTCTCAAGTGGAGGCTGCGTCAATGGGTGGCAACTCTACCTAGATAGTGAATGAACAGCAGTCTTGAAGGCCGTCTCTGCCTTGCTTTGTGGAGGCCCATGGTGTGCTTAGCTGAGCCGTAGTCCACATCAAAGCATTGGGGAGCTGTTGTCATCTCCCATGGGCAAGCACTCCTTTTGCTCAGTCCTCTAAGGAAGGGAGAGCACCTGAAACCTTCGTCTCCCACTAGCTCTGTGCTGCATTTTTCAGAGAGCACTGAGTGCTGAAGAATACTCTCTGTGGTGACCATTGAGAAGCCCTGAGAGCTCTCACCTCCTGCCAAAGCACAGATTAATGATCTTTCTGTGTGAGGCCTCAGTGACAGACCAGCAATGGAGGCGGATGGTTTCACTACATGGGACAGCAGGCTCAAAACATCTTTTGAACTGGCAGTCCTTCAGGGCAAGAGCATTCACTGTGGACTCTCGGGACATTCACCACTGAGGGATGACAGCCCAGCACGAGTGCATTATATAGCTCCAGTTTTTGGCATGTTAGGTCAGAGCAATACAGCAAACGCACAAGAAGTATAGGAGAGGCACTTTCACTCATTTCTCATCTTACGGTCACAAATCTGCTACATAACCTTTGGGAAAACTCTCAGTGCCTTCCTTCTTYGTCCCTCCCCATATCATACAGTCTATGAGGCCCTCTGGACATGTACACAATGTACTTCCTTTGTTTAGACATCAAAAATGACCATTAAATCATCTGTCATTATTGCTATGATCATGTTAATTCATGCTGAACTAAATTATCTCCTCCAAAAAGACATCTATCTTTGATGAGGACAGATGATGTTTCTAATGGGTGAAGCTGAAGGTTATGAATCTCAACCCAATTATATGAACTCCCAATTACATTTATGTAGCTTGATCTTCCCATTATGGGATTTGTTCTTGGTGGAACTAATGACCCCAGCTGCATGAGAAAGCACCCACATTACATCAGGTTATCAAGACTTGGTATTAMACATGCCTATGCCTTTCTTTTGCTGATTTTCACAGACTGAGTTCTCTGTGCTTCTGATTTGTGAATGTTCTTCTGCTCCCAAGGATTTTCATATGCTTTCCTAAGCACAAACTCTGGATCATCCTTTCTCTGTCCTACCAATGCCACCAACATAATATAGCCCTCCTTGTCACCTCTCTCCTGCTATATCCAAGTATCTCTCTGATAGCAACCTCACTCTGGAAACCATCTTAGATACTTTTCCACTTAAACCATTTCAAAATTCTGTTCCATAGGATTCTTTTTCAGATCTGTGTGGCATTTTTTTTTTCTTGTTTCTATAAAGACGGCATTTTTTGACTAGGTAGCCAAGGTCACTAAGCAATCCATCTTGCTCTCCACAACAGGACCATCTTCCAGGTTATTCATTATTCTTCCAGGCTGTGTGTCATGCACAAATATTTCCAGTCTTGCAGGTCTTGTCATCTGTGCATCACCCATGTGATTTCTTCCCCAAAGCTTTTTCCTCCCTGTGGTTCACATCCAAAATGGAAACATAACAAAAATAACAGAACYGCTGAGACAAGAAACAGGAAAACTGAAAAGATGGAGTGAGGAAGGAATGTTTTCAGCACTGAAACAAAGGAGAGTTACTGTTTAGGAGCAAAAAAAAAAAGGGAAAAAGGAAGAAAAGTAATTTATTGTATACTTTTAAGTTTAAATACATTAAGTGGAATGACTGCACTTAGAGATGATCACTGCATTCTTCTACATCTTTTGGAATATAGAGTTCTCATAGCAAGTCTGTGTTGTACTATAAGTATAGAGAGGCCATCCTTTACAGGTGGTCTGGCAAAAGTCTTCTCCAAAGCCTGGAGCAGATTACAGCAGTAGCCAGTTTCATGTTCTTCTCACATATCAAGAACAAAAATCACCCAAAACAATTAATCTTTCTCTGAAGATACTCTTTTCATCACATCAGAGCATCAATAAATATTTCCCAGCTCTTCAGCTGAATTTCTCTGATACAAGCACCTGCTCTATCTTAATTTGGCCATGACCCCCCATATTACTTTTAAAGATACTATCCTTTGCAGACCAATAGCAGTATCTTGAGGTTCTTATCTGCTTAGAGTGACCACTCAGATATCCGAATTGGAGGCCCAAACCAAGCCAAGCCCTCAAGTCTTTCTGCTGTTCTCAAGGATGGTGTTCCCAACACTCTTTTGATATTCCATCAGCATATGGATGTCATCAAGCAATGTACACAAATGAAAGATAAGCAGTCTGAAAATTCCTGCAAGAGCACTTGGAAGTCAATGAAAACCTTTATTTCTAAAAATAATGAGTTAAATTCCTTCCCYACCCCTCCCCTGCATTCCCACAGCTCACAGCTGTCACAAAAGACTATCACAGTTTAGCAGTATAATGAATATCTGGACCAAGAAACAAGGTCAACATTTTAGTATCTATACCACAAGTTCCACCACCATGTTACACCTATTGCAACACACATGTCAAATGCACATGGGAAAGCTGACCTGGACATCTGATACTGAATCTACCTTTTCAAGAGTGTTTCTTCTACAAGTCTAAAGTGTGAGGTACAGCAAGAGATTCATAAGAGGCATTAGGAAAATCAGAAAAGATTCTGGAAAAAAAAAAGAAGTTATATAAAAGAACAACGGTTCTGTATTGTGACAATGTCTGAATTTTCTTCACAAGGTTTTATTTGTCACTGGAATGAAACCACTATCAGCACTGACTCTTCTTTATATTGCTCAAAGGACACTTTGTGCTACTAATGATCCGATAAGAAGAGTTGACCTTTGTGCAAAAATCTTAAAGAGAATTTGAGGCTGAGAATACAAATAGTATAACTACAAAATCACCACCATAATAACCCCAAAACATTTCAAAGTTGTCTACGAGGAGTATAGGACATGGTCCCCGCAACAAAGTACTTTGTTCTCGTGAATGGTGGAAAAAACATGATCTCTTCTCATAGCGAAGTGCATCTTGCTAGGTTCTAGCCATTTCAGCTTCTGTCAACAGTGATTTCTTCATGCCATGTTTCACAGATGATCATGATATCGTCATGAAAAAGAGGTGAATTTCTTAGATCTCACAGAACACATATGCACTRGTCAACTAAAGAGAATCAGGTAAAAAATCAGCTCTGTGTGAGGAAGGAGGAAATAACATGAGGTTTAAGATAATTTAATGTCCCTGAAATGGGAAGTATCTGGGCCAACATCTGTAGTAATTTCCTCAGCTTAAGAAGTCACCCCTTCTTTGAATTGAGGATAGGAAGGTACGGGGGGACCAGCTGCCAGCCAGCAGCATGCTGTTAGAGGGGTATACCCACAATGTACAAGTAAGGGGAGTTTAAGAGACCCCACTCTACATTTGGCAGGAACTAAGTTCCTAAATGATTAGCACAGATGTTCACACGGACCTGTCCAAAATTACTGATTCTAGTCCTGGACTAAAGACAGGTTAGTCTATATCTAAAGCTATGGCTGTTCTAGCATATTGATGTGCTCATGTTCATTTTTTGACCCTGAGGCCACCTGGCTTGGATGAACGTAGTCTGTGCTATCAAACTCACCTTCCAAACGGGCTACTCCCAGTTGCACATGCTGAGCGTTCTGGACCATGACAGCTCCTAAATCATGCCTGCCTGGAAAAGTCTGAGCTGACATTGCCAAAAGCTGTGCCAATTTCCATCTTAAGAATATGGTAGATTATATGGGCTGTCGAAGACTCTGTATTCATTCTATTAAATATTATTTTCATAATTACCAGTGTACTCTGGAGCTAAGCTGAGCCAGATGCAATTCTGTAGCTTCCATCCTCCAGTTTTTCATGTCATTGTTGCTGTCTAAGTGACAGCTAACTTCTACATGTTAATATTCCCTCACCTCTGCTCTCCAAAGGAGGAACTCTTGGCTACACAATTCACTTTTCACTGACAAAGATACCGTGAAACAACAGTCCAAACACAAAACATGCCTGAAAAAAGAAAGCACTCTGTGCTATAGGGGGATAGGAGGAAACCTTATACAACATGTGCAAAATGGAGTCAGAGCATGCATAATTTAACCAAGGATTTAGGGATTTAGTCTCAGCCTTCCACTGTCAATGGGACTAACATTTCACGGCTGTCAGCCACCATCCAGGTCAGCTCCATGGCTTGAAAAAGAGCTCTGTAGAGTTAAATGCACAAATATCTGGCAGCTTTAGCTAAAGAACTGGATTCTCCAACTGTGACTGCAGCAGCCTCAGAAGTCAGAGACCAGAATACATGTCCTTGTAGGACAGCAGGCCTTTGTTTCTACCATAAGAGAAAACTATAATCTGTAGCCAGAAAAACAAACAAAAAGGAATAAAGATCAGATTCAGCAGATTCAGCAGTTTCAGGGGTGCAAAGAGACTAGATTCTTACAGTTGCAAGGTCCATAGCGCGTCTTTCACCCAGCCCAGCAGCACCCTTCTTTCCTCCCACTTAGATCAACATCATTGATCAACATCAAAAGCATTGGTGTCATCAGACCCTCAGAAGTTGGCCAGGGCCTGGTGGGAGCACATCTGCTCCAAYAACTAGGATTGCCCTTTCCCATGGGAGAGGAGGTGGGATGTCCATCCACAGGCTGGTTGGCCACTGTCTCAAGAGCAGGCTCTGGCTGGGAGGCAGGTGGGTCATCTGTTCATGCGCTGCAGGATGGTCACACAGCCGTGATAACTGGTACAGCGCTGCAGTGGAGGCTGCTGCTCCACGGTCCCCGTGGCAGGGTCGAATGTGAATGCTTTGTCCGTGCCTTCCCCATTCTCATCTCGACCACCCAGGATATAAATCTTCCCTCCGCACACCGTCAGACCACAGCTCTCCTGGAAAGAAAAGACACAAAGCCCAAGAGTTGAGGAACAGCCCTCCAGCTTCATAAAGTGGGCTGAACATGGGAGAAACTGGCCCAGCTCTCACCTGTCCAGCAAAAGGGAGAGAAGGTAGATAGGAAATGTGGTTTCCTGCTCTTGGGAACTGTAGTAGTTTTGGATAACTACTTCTTGATGTTTGGGGATCATTACTTTTCCTCCAGTTTGCAGTGATATTAGATGTTACTACCTTACTCTTTCAGTGAGAGTTTGAGCATTTGAAATGTCTCAAGCTGGCAATGTAATCTTTACTATATCTGGCCATTCTGGCAGAGTGGAAAGGTTCAGAGTTTTTTTCAAAGTTTTTTCTTACCAGTGGTCCGGGGAGGGTGGCCACATCTCGCCAGCTGTCTGTTTTTGGATTGTAGCTGAAGATTTTACTGAGGAGTCCACCTACAACATAGATGATGTTCTCCAAGCATACGGCACTGATACACCTCTGGTAAAAAGGGGTAGGGGACAAGAGTGTCCACTTGTTCTCCTCTGGATCATAACACTGGACCTGGAAGGAGAAGCACAGATATTGGAGCATAAATTTCCCWTTCCTCTTGGATGAAACAGCTATTCAGTGGAATTAAAAGTGAACAGAGATAGAACCACAAACAGAAGCATCAGCACCCAGAAACCAGTGTACAACTGACTCCATTGAAACCATGCAGTGAACTCCTGACACCTTTCTTTTACCCTCTCTGGTCTCACCAGCTTCCATTTAAATCTATGAYTTACTGTAATCCTGGAGGATTGGAAAAACATGCAACTCTTTCCCTTTATGCTGCAGGCTTCTATTTTGAAGACTTGCACTACCTCCCTTGTAGCTTAGACAAGCCTATTTCTCTATTCATTGCCTAGTAAACCAAATTTTCTTGGTCTCTGTCCATTTCAGATGTTCCTTTCTGGCCTTTCTTGAAAACTTTTTTGTGAAAACACAATGCCCAAAACTAGACCTACACTAAGCTGACACCTCCCACTCCTGAGCTACCTAAAGTTTTATTTTGAATGTCTATCTTGCATAAAAACAGTAGTCATCATCATACCCTTGTGCCAGCAATACCTTGTCTGTGTTTGCGCTGTCATCCACAGCACCACCCAGCACATACAGTTTGTTGAGGCAGGAGACCACGGCCGCTGAGCTCACAGCTTGCGGCAGCGGGGCCAACGTGGACCAGCTGTTGGAGAAGGTGTCATAGCACTCCACACTGGAGAGGCGGTAGAAACCATCAAACCCTCCCACAGCATAAATCTGCCACAGAAGGAGCAAAGCACAACCATTAGAAACTCATGAACTCACCTATGATGGCACAGAGTACATGGAGTGAGGTTARGGCAAAATGATAGAAGGACATCCTGGGACACCATGCCAAGGTAAAGCTTGAATCAGCAGGCAGATACGTAGGTTTTAAATGCCCCACACTGCATGCTTTTCACCCAAAAACTTTACACAGTCATCGTGAGAAGTCTTGTACCATCCCATGATAGATCTTATTGCTGTGAGTTCCAGATTTCATTTATAATTACTTCAAGTGACAATAGAAACCTAACTGAAAACAATGAGATCTTGATTGCATCCTAGTTGTTCTCCCACCAAAATTATCTCTAAATCATCCAGATGACAAATAAATAGTGATGACCTTTTACTGTACTGGGCAGGGGAGAAGTGGAGGACAATGCTCCATATGGCTCCTTCCAAAAATCAGGCCAGTGCCTACCTTGCCCTGCAGCGTTGCCATTTTGTGCCTCCATCGACCTTTCTGCAGACAAGCAACCTTGATCCAGACATTCAGCTGGGAGCTCAGCACCCAAACGTCATTGCTGCTGATGTGTCCCCCTGAAAATCAGAGGGATGTAGGGCTGGTGGAATCCCAAGGACAGTCCCATCACCTCATTGCCCTATAATACTTAGTCTCTCCATGCAAAGTTACAACCTAGGTCAGACTGTGGTTACTGGGAAGAAAACTATAACTTTGCTAGGAACCCACAGGACCTTCTTCYTTTCAAAATGACTATTAACATTCTAGAGAAGCCTCTAGCTAAATAGTTCAGCTGTTTGGCTATCAGACATACACACACACTTTCAGCGTGAATAAGGAAGCTTGTACACAATTCCTTTTGCTATTGACAGCCACATGTCTACATTCCTTATTTCTACTGTAACCAAGCCTGAAAATTGTCTGGGCCCTTGAAAAGATGACTAAAGAAGACYTGCTCACCATAAACCTGTTTTCGTTTTAGGGGATTTTTTTCATAATAAATAATGTTCCTTCCCACAGGGGCTTTGTGATTGTGTAAACTCAGCTTCCCAAGGGAGAGATTCCTTAAATTTCAAAGCACTTATTACAYTTCTCCCTTCTTGCATCTGATGGTYGTTATATTTTAAAAGAGCAGCTGGCAGGAAACCCCATTGTTAAGAAAACCCTTTCTGGCTACATGCAGCAAATACAGCTCATTCCAGAGTCAAACTCTCAACAGATGTCCAGAGAAGCAGGAGAAGAATATTATTAGCACTTCCATCCTCCCACAGAGATGATGGGTGTTTCTTGAGACCCAACCACAATAATTTGGGTTGGGACCCAAATCCCAACCACATAATTTTCACCAAGAAGAAACGACTTTCCTACCAAGCTGGGATGCACCTAAATAAGGCCCCAATGAACAGACCTGGGGCATGGCTGTCCAAGAAGAGGTCACACTATTCCTCTTGCTGACCAGGAAGGGATCAGCTGGTCCATGGCATCTCACCTGATATGTACACATCGTTTTTCAGAGTGCAGGCAGCAAACTCTGACTTGGTATAGCCGGGCACGCTGGAGAGGGCTGTCCACTGCCTGCTCTTTGGATGATAGAGATCTGTGAAGGGCAGCTTCAGAAGACCTTTCTTATCGCAGCCCCCAATAATGATGATAACTTCTGACATCTCCATGAACCTAGACCAAGACAGGCATGGGTAAGTCCATGGCAAGGTACCTCTTTCCACACAGGATCCTGTAAGCACAGCCCAGTGGGTAGAGCTGGCTCCTTTCCTGCCTTTTCTCCTGATTTTCTAGGCAAATCTTTTCACTCCTGCATCTTCCTTTCTGGCTGTGTGTGTGCAAATCAAATGTATCTCCCAGCTTGTGTGGGAAGGGCTCCAAACTGCAGAGGGAAGGAGAGGAACCATTCAAAGCCCTTTGTGAGACTGGCTCCTACCACTCGTCCTCCCCCTTCCCACAGAATCCAGCCTAATCCTCAACACRCAGCCAGGAGCATGGAAAGCCTTTCTGGCAGGCGGCCTGTGACAAGCTCCCTGCCTGGGGAGAGAAGTGTTTCCAGGAAATCTCACTCTCTCCAGCTTTAATAGCAGCAAGCAGACGAGACAGCCGTCAGGGAAGGGAAAATCTTGCCAGCCCGTCAGTGGCAAGAGAGGAACAACAAAGCAGGAAAGAAGGAGAGGAAAAGGAGTAGAGTGGAGAGGGATTTGAAAGATTGCAGACCAGGTTATGCAGCCTGAGACAATTCTTTTATGTCCAAAGCTGTAAAAGGGCAGAGGGTAGCATTTACTCCCATGAATTTTAGCCATCTACCACCTTGTGCTGGTCACCACAGGTCCTTTTATTGAGCAGTTCTTTGTATAATGGCCTGTTGTGGCAATCAGTGCAGAGAAGACCCTGCTTCAAAGCTCCACTTTGGTCTGAGAGGATTCACATCCCCTTTTTCTCCCTGCCAGAACAATATCCTAAATACCATGGTGGAATTTCTGAGGTTTTTTGGGACAAACTTGACCTTCCATGGAGGCTTTTCCACTGAAAGGTCAAAATATCTGCCCTCCTGGGCTGAAAGGCAGGAGAGTACAAGACTCTTGAACCTTAATTCCTGACCTTGCCGCAATGCTTGTGAGCCTGTACAGATGGCCAGGAGGAGTCAGACCATGTCCGAGCCTTTCTGCTAACAAACCAACTGGGGATACTTGGGGAAACACCAAAAGAGGCAAAACAAGACCAAGACCACTGGCAGAGATGGGAATGGAAATGCTGCCTGGTGTTTCTTCGTGGTGGCTTTAGCACTCCTAGCTGCAAGAACAAGGAGCAGGGACACCCAATTTGGCTCTGCGGGAAGCTGAGGGTTAACACTACTGACCAAATTGTGTTCATGCTGCAAAAAAAAACTTGTATGGTGCCTTATGACCCATGCGACTTGAGGTGTTGGAAAACCACATTTGCCAAGCTGATCACAGTGAGAACACAAATGTGGCTGACTCTCCTCTATGCTACAGTTCCTTTCCATCTAGGAAGAAAAAAAATACTAGAGACATGACTGCTTCCTTCATGTTTTAATTTAAAATTTAAATAGCTTTTTCACCYACTCTATAGTTTGAAAAAAAGATGAAAAGCGCTTTGAAACTCTCAAGAATTGACTCTTCTTGTCACAAATTCACATTGTGAAATAAATTTCACATCAAAGCACAGATTTGAAAAGCGCAAGGTTGTTTTCCTCCTCTTTGTACAACTGTGAGCCTCAAACGGTCTCTGGTAGCACGGCTGCTCTTGAAAAAGAGATTTTCCTGTGCTCTGAGTATAATTGGAAAAGCACAGGAAAAGCAAAGTTCCTCCCTGATCCTGAGCCAGAGTCACCACAGTAACAGAGGCCAAAATATCTTCTTCAGTCTTGCTGTAAAGCTAGGTTCCTCATATTAACGTATAGCTCAAACGGGAGTTTCATAAGAAGTATGAAAGAATGTCAGAAAAAAAACTAGAAAAAAAAAACAAGACTCTTCCTCTCATTCACGTATAGATCTAGGGAAGAAGATGTTGTGTTTTACCTTCTGGGCCTTGACCTCAAAGAGCTGACCTCATTCCCAAGGATGTAGTACTTGCGTGCTTCATGCAGCAGAGGAATGCACTCTTTTGAGTCCTGGATGAGTCCATCCATTTCCACCTTCTCCAGGAAGTACGTGGGGTCGAGCAGGGGCAGGCGCACATGCTCAAGGAGTTCCTTCAACGCTCCCTTCCTGGCAGGTATATCATGACGTATCCAGCGCATCACYGCTTCAAAGACCACTTCCTCCTTGGGGACCACCAGCTGCTCACTGGAAAGATATTCGACCAGCTCCTTCACCCCCATCTCCAGGAACTCTTCATGACATGACACCTCCACAAAGCACTCCARCATGAACCTCTTGCTCTTCTCTGTCAGGGAAGCGATGGAGAATGAATCGGCAAACTTCATGATTCCCAGGCAATTGCATGGGTGAAGCTGACCTTCAAGGAAGGTGACACAAGCATCTCTGAGCTTGGAGATCTGCAGCAAGTCAGCCAGTTCCAAGATGTCTTCAACATTGTCCTCCTGAATGATGATATTCCCCCCATACATGTAGTCAAGAAGGAGAGACATGGTGGAAGCAGAAATCTTCTGGATGTTGATGATCTCCTGGTGGCCTTCCTTGAGATTGCTTCCAAACATGGCCCGGAAATATGTGCTGTTGGCTGACAAAGTGGCACGGTGACAGGGAAATTCCTGCCCATCAATCAACAGCACCACATCTGTAAAGATGCCGCTTTGCCGGTAGGAGTTGAGTGTCTGCAGGATTTGCTCAGCATGGCAGGACCCACTGCAGAGCTTCATGTGCAGCTGTTCTTTGTTCGAGTCCCGAGATGCATTTTCTAGGCTGCTTGTTCTGTAACTCGATTCTTCCTTCATCAGCCGATGCATCCTGATCAAGAAGGAGTGAAGGAGACAAGAGAAGACCAGTACACTTATTAAAATATCAGGCTGCAGTATCCAGCATCATCACGAGTTTTGGATGTGCCTCAGTGCCATGAGGAAGGACAGCTTCCAAAAAAATAAAACCAGACTCTGCCTCTTCATTCTTGCCCACAGCTCATCCTCAGTAGTAAAACATTTCCTCCAAATCACTGAACAATGATGTACCCTAGGATATTTCTCATCAAACCCTATCCCAACAGAATAAGCTCTTCTTATTTTGGAAGATGTTTTCTCCTTTGGCAATTATAGTTCATTGTGACTGACAGAGATCATTACCTTGCAAACCAGCAGTGCTACAGGAGCTCCTAAACCAGTTCTGGACCACTCAGCCTAGCAAGGATCCTGAGCTTAGGTGTGAACACATCAGGCAACCTGGTTTCCATGATCAACTCCGGTCCAACATCATATAAATGCAATGTATAAACTCAGTTTGCCCATTCTAGATGGGCAGTTGGGTTTTCCGGTATGTAGCATCCCCAGCCTTTGATACCCAGCTATGAGAGCTGACTGCGTGGAGGATATGTGACTGTTTTGTAAGATCTGACATACACGGTTGTTGTCAGAGGGAAATCAAATCAGAGTCTCCATCTAAAACCTCAGCACCCTTTTCTTTCCCATCGACATTTTGCCATTTTTCTTGGACAATTTGTCAAGTACAAAAGCTCTGTGAGACAGCCCAGCCCAAAACATGCAGAATTTTCACTTTTTGTAATCTGGTATATTTCCCCAGAAGACTTATTCCATGAGAAAATCCAGTGGAAAACATTAAAGACTGAGATCAAAAGTGCTTAAGAAACAAACTGCCCAAAGACAGAGGTGATGTCTCTTCCTCAGTACCCCTTCTGCTAGTTTTATTCTCTGAGTGTTTTTAGAAGCCATACGCTCAGTGTGGAGTCTGTAAGCAGCCGCACACCCAAATAGGTGATCACTGCTCAAATGGGTCAGGGAGGCTCCCCTGAGAAGAATATCCATACTCCCATTATCTCTGTGGAGAATGGTCTCTTCTGCAAAGGGGCTCCAAGAAGGACAGGAGCATTGTGGCCCTGAAACAGCGACAAGAACTGACCAGTGCTGACAATGTCAAGGAAACCAGAGACCCCAAACTTTGACTTCCAACACCTCTCTGCAGCTGCCTCCACAATCCAAATCACCCCACCCCAACACTTTGGCTCTGTTTCCTCCCATTCTATCCCAAAACTGTGTCTATCCCACAAYCACCACTACCCAGACCAGCTCCCCACGGGGGATGAAGGAGGGAATCGCTGCTCACCTGACCAAAACAGACTCCCCAGCCATGCTTTAAATATGAGGGACAAAGCACTGTTGCCATCCATGCACTAAAGCAGGGCAGAGACCCAGCATCCTTTTTGGAGAGGGCAGTATCRGTGGGGGCATCCAGTAGAGGACCCTGGGCTCAGGAATAGATCGAGATGATACATGACAGCTCCAACATTGCTTGTGCAAGGTTTAGATTGCTCTTCTGAGGCTTGTTAATGGCAAAGAAACTAGTTTGGGAACATTTCGGGGCTCAGACCCCCAAAGGTGCTCAGATTCTCCTGCGCTCCAGAAGACACGTCCTAGCTGCACCTTACTGGGATAGTGGCTGGGTTTAAGACAGACAAGTCTGGTTCTCGGGATCTTCTCCCTGTTCCTCCATCCCAAAATAAGTATCCTCATTTCCTTTGTGTCTCCAAAACTTGCAATGGGGAAAGCAGCCCTATCACAGGAATGCTGCAGAGATTTAAGAGCAATCAGAGCAGCATGACAAGCACGACATAAATATCTAAGAAGCCCCGGGGCAGTGGGTGAAATCTCCAGCTGCCCTGAACGCCACTGCCTTCCCTTTGGGGGCTGCACAGAGATCACTAAATCACTGCATGGTGATTTAGAGAAGTTACAACAAAGACGGGTGTCTGGAAAAGCCTCCTGCACAAGCTCTGCTTTTCGCAGGCGCACATGGCTCCGGCAGCGACAAACGCTTCCCCATCCACACTTCTGCCCCCGATCTCACATTTCCAATCAATCAGGATCATCCACAGCTCCACGCGGCTGGGATCTCCTCCATATCAAGAGACCATCCTAAGCCAGATACCACTGCCCGGCTCACAGCCCTCCTGTCTACCCTCAGAGCAAGCGATGAAGAGGGGTAGGTGCTTCCTCACCACGAGTCTCCCCCTCCCTGGCTCACACAGCAGAGATGGGTTTATTTCTCTAGTTATCCTCCCCCAAAATGATCATGCAAAAAGTCAAATATTACCTGGCCAGCAAGTTGTGTCCTCCAGGTGGGACCTAGAGAAGCTTGGGCTCCCTCTCACAGGGCTCACATTCACGTAGGGGCTCTTCAGAGACCATAAGGAGCCTTCAGTCCCACTCCAGCAATGCTTYGGGAAGCACAAAAGCATCCCCTTTATCCTCCCTGCTGGGGAGGTGGGGGAGAAATCTGCTTTTGTTTCTCTTGAATGACATGCTGGAGAGCTACAGGGCATTAGCCATGCAGCTGTCAGTAACAGCCAGCCAGGGAGGAGCTAGGACTCAGGGAAAACCCATAGTGTCTTAGAAAAAAATATATATATATATAATCACAGCAGAGCAGCTTMAGGGGGCCGAGCCATCTGGAGAGCAAACGGGAGTCCAGGTGGAACGATGCATTTGATCGAGCCTTCATCTTAGTGAAAACCGCTTGAAAGAGGATAAATAAAATGCTGCTTCTAGAGCAGAAAGGCACAGAGAGAAAAAAAAAAAAACAGGCTGGAATGAGTTAGAGCTGCAAAGCCCCTCATTAACATGCAGTAATTAGGTCCATGAGAAAGAGGAGGACAGAAGGGGAGGTTTGGCCCATGTGGCTTTCAGCACCCTCTTCTGCAAACCGATCCCAGCAATTGGCTGGTTTTTTAACACTCATAGCATGGATTAAAGGAGCCCTTGGGAAGCTGGTATTTTGCTGCACAAAGTAGCTGCTGTCCTGAAGACTGTCCAAAGCCCTAGTGTGATACAGACCACCTTATGTCCCTTTCCAGCACTGGTCTGAGCAACCCGGACCATTTCATGGTGGGCAGCAGGGAAGCAATAGCAATAACCAACTGCTGGGTGCTGTCACCTCGGTGAAACCACTGCTCTGCTGAGGACATTTGCTGGCTCCTTTCTGCTCCTGTCCCATCACCCRGGCAGAAGCTGGCATCCCGCTTGCTCCCACCATTTGCATATGAATCACTGGCAACCTGGAAAGAGCCCGTGGTTTTTCAGCCCAAGCAGGGGTCTGGGAGAAGGATTTGTTCTTGGGATCTTCCGCTCGGACAACATTGGTACTGGCCAGGGCTTCCACCTTAGCCAGGCACACGTGGAGCTTGGGGCGTCTGGCTGTGCAGGATGGCCTCAGTGTTGACAACACAGTGCTGATTCTGTCCCCTAGGGTGGCAYAAGCAGGTCTCATGAGCATGGGGGAACATCAGGGACCCTTCTGTCAGCGTGCAAAGCTGTCCTCTCCTTGCAACAGGAGCTCTCTAGACCACTCATGAGCTCAAAGTCAATCCTCGACTTCAGGCAGGGAGCGACAGCCACAGAGGGACCAACTAGGAAGATGTTGTAAAGACACAAAGTGGCTGCAATGAGAAGGATTTTTCTAAGGTGAAGCTGTCCCTCTTGTTCACATCAAGCCTCCAAGTGTGAAGACAGMCCAATCACACTGCACTTGCTATTGGATCTTCTCTTACTACGACACTAGTCATATAGCAAGAACTGTGCCACATCCCAGATGGTTGGTCTTGTGTGAAACCAGGGCACTAAGCATCGCAGGGGGATGTGCAAGGACATGGTAGCTTTTCAAGAGRGTGTCTGCCAGATCACACTGGAGGAGGATGCTCTTTTCAAGGGGAAGAATCCAACCTGTCRTCCCTTCCATGGGCCCTGGGTCTCCTCCACTGAAACAGTGCACCACCAAGAGTCCTACCCCGCTGTAAAATCTCCTCTTCATTAAAAACACCCAGCCCTTGGCAGGCAGCTCACAAGTCATTAGATGCAAAGTCACAAGCATTAAAAAGACGCCAAATGGAAATAAGGGATGTAAGTCCAGGAAATTCAGGAGCCTATGAGGAAAGCATGGCGTCTTGATGGGCCACGCTGTTAGCTCCAGAACACGCAAGTAGAAGACCAGGACATCAGAGGAGCAATGTGCATGAGTCAGGTGGAGAAAGGGAACAGAAAGGAGAAGGGATATGGCTAAGCTGAAGAGAAAACTAAAAGTAAAGAGTGAAAGAGAAAAAAGGTAGGAAAGGACTTCTGACAAATCAGGTAATTGAGGCTACAATGAGAAACATGGAGGGAGACTAATCATCTCCTAACCAGGACTTAATTACACTGTAGTCCTCACCTCAGAGGTGGAAACACATCCTGTCCAGGACATCTATCAGTGCATCTCTGGTACCATCATACACAACTCCACCTTGCCATGGAGTGTGTCGAGACACCAACTCAGCCAGATAACAAAAGCCAATAGTAAGCAGTATTCAGAAAACAAGATCGAAAGAGGAGAACCAAAGAAGGCAGAGAAGTAACTGAAGAAGAAATGGACCTTGGGAAGGAGAAGAGTGAGTAAGCAAGAGATGCCTATGAGTAAAAGGTCAAATTTCGTCTGTGGCCAATACCTGCATCAGGTTCAACACTTGGCCGGGTGCTCCAGCTGAAGAGATGTTGTGTTGCTCTATGAGACCAGGGGACAGTGAACCAGCCTTCAATCTCACACCTCTTCTTCTGTTCATATTGCTACCTGACTTCTTTCCAGCTTGCAGTTTCCAAGCTCCTGAACGCTACACCACACAAAGGCTTCAGCTGGTACAYGAGAGATCCTTCTTAGGCCTAGATAAGTCTTTGGTATAGACACATCACCATCACCTCCAAGCTACAAGATCACAACTCTACAGGTAAATTTGAAGGGTTGCAGAGTCTCTACAAGAAGAAACTCAGCTGTATGGCTAAGCCATTATAAATGAAGGCAGCTTTAGAGGGGCAGAAAGAGTTAAATGGCATCAACGTTGGCTGCCTCAAGCCATTTGGGCTCAGTGCCAGAGACTAATCCTCAGCTTTTTTTATTTGAATAATATATAGACGCAGCCGACATGACTCTCATTTTTCTCCTTTCASCTTTCCAACATCTTTCACCAGGGAACATCAATGATAGCCCCTAGTTACATATTACTCAGTACCAGTAGAAGTCAGGAGCTTTACCCTCCACCCCAGGGGCTATTTTATTCTTCAAACACACAAACTGTGCTCCTGAAGCCAGTCATATTCATGACATGGTACAGACTACTCCTTCCCAGTCAGCGAGACAGATGAAAGGGATTAAAGTAAATGCTATCAATTAAATGCAGCCCTTCACAGACTGCAGAAAAACAGCAAAATAACAATGAAATATCTATTAGAACAGCCGTGCGGGCTCAGACAAGAGCCCCTCCTCACCCAAAGCATCCTCGGATTACAGCTGGGAGCAGACCCTGAAGCACAGCTTAAGACAGACAGCACATACCAAGCAATAGAAAYGTTCAGCAAAGAGCTGTCGGGGACTTTCCAAGCTGGAAGTTGCATCTGGATTGCTGCGTTTAATAGCTGCTAATGGGCGTGYGAGCCATTTGTGCTTTTTCAAACCTGCTTATGCTTTTGGCCTTCATAGCACCCTGGGGCAATGACTTCCATAATGCACGCTGAAAATAAATTGCTTGCTCTGTTTTGGTTTAAAACTGCTGCCTGATGGGTTTTGGGGGTGCATCACTGGCCACAAGTAGTTAAAATTATTCCATAGTTAGCGCTCGACACAGCTCTGCAGCATCATCTCCACCCCAATCAATTGCTTTTCAGCTGCTATCCTATAAAATCCAGGTGGAAGAGGGGATCAAGACAAATGCTCTGATCTCCAAGTTCTCCTCTCCATARACCTCTCTCTCAAAACTGCCCATGGGTCCCTCCTAAAGCACTGACAAGGGGAAGCGTGGGGAGATGATCAACACCAACGAAGCAACAAGCAAACCCTGAACATACGACAACATCACAGAGTGTCGGGGGAATACTGACAGTTTATTTCACAGAGCATCGCAGAGTTAATCTTGGTCTAGCTCTATTTTCATCAAAAAACTCTCACCCTTTTTTTAAAAAGAAAGGTAGCAAATCTTCAGGACGATAACGGTAACAGTCAGTGCATTACGTGTAAGGTTTGGGTCTCATTGTAAAAAATAAAAATTAAATTAAAAAAAATCAGCAACTCTTCATTGGATTTGCTTTTTTTTTTTTTTTTTTTTTTTTTTTTTTTTTTTTTTACACTTCCAAGCTTTTAAGCACTTGACCTTTCAATAAAATCATCTTCAAGAATAAGAACAGAACATGCAGGTGATTATCAACAGATGCTGAGATTTAACAAAGTCTTTCACTTGGCAATCACAATCTGCCGGGAATGTGTCAATACAGCACCACATTTAAGGGAGAAGCAACTTGTCCTCAAAGGCCTTCGATTCCACCAAAATCTTGCAGTTCTGAAGAAAAAAAAAAAAAAAAAAAAAAAGGAAAACCACACCATTTTTTTTTTCACAGGCTTGAGAATACCATACAAACGGACAGTACTGGGGAAGGTGAGAGGGAGCATGGACCAGGGTCTCACTCCACCTACATTCATAAAAACCCAGGGCAGATGCAAACGACTAAGTCTCGATTTGCATTGCTCAGGGAGTGCACATTAAAGCATCACAATTAAGTTTTAATGTCTTGCTTGCATCACTAGTAGGAACCTTTTCTTCTTCCGTCATTTTGACATTTTACTTAATTTCTTCCCGTATATAAAACTCTCTTGGCTATTTTTTTCCCCTCAGTTCTTCTGCAGTAAGAACAAGGCTGAGGTTTTAAACCCTGACTTGTTTACAGCTAAAAAATGAGCGGTTTAGGGCTGCTGTGATAAGAATTTGCATCACGTCTTGTTTCTGGCTATACCAAGCCTGCATTTATGGCTAACATGAGGCATGACAGCACCCCAAAAAACACTCCCTTCTTCTTCAAGATCGCTTCTTTTGGTAGCACAGCAGGCAACCCCCAGCTCAGCCTGTGCTCTGAGCCTCAGCCTTGGCTTCCACTTCTTCCATGGGAAATGACTTTCATCCTGCCCCCATTTTCAAAGCAGGGCACGCTGGCCTTCAAAGGAAGCCCGTGATCAATGGGAATTCTCTTATTGCACGTCGTGTCCACCACTACGCAGCAAGGAAGGAAGCCACCCAACACCAGGAGGATGTGAGGAACCAGCCAAAACCCATTCGTATCCAGGGCAGCCCCTTGGCTGCCTTCAGCTACCTCGGGAAGCGACTCCGTGTGAACAGCAAAGTGACCCAAAAACCAGCTCCTCTCGGCAAGGAGCAGAGAGCAGAGACTTCCCTTGGGCTGGCTGTGAGCGCTCATGAGGAGGGAAAAAATGCAATTGTAATCTTAGTTTCCAATTTAATTTTTTTWAAATATATATATTTTTAAGCTCTRGTCTAGGATTTTGGTTTATAGCATCTTGCATTGGAAAAAAAAGTGCCACAGAGAGCTCTCACCTCCACGAGCTCCTCAGCATGGGCCGCAAGATCACTGCTCGCCTGGAGGACATGAACATGCAGCCTCAAAAACATTCTGCTTGGAAAGCAAGCAGATAAAGGTCTCCTTGCAAGAATAAATTATTCTCCTTGGCCCTTTCCCCTGCCAARCTATGTACAAATCCTCTGCCCATGGGTATCTGCTTGGCCCCCAAAAGACAGGAGCTCGCACTGTGTTGCCACCTCTTCTTTGGGGGTGCAAGGACAGGAGATGGAGGAGCAATTGCAAATGCCACACGAAGTAGCAGGCACTTCAGCCAGATCTCCAAGCAGTGGCGGTGCCCTCAGCATTGCTTTATTTGCAAGCCATCACACTAGAGCTCCACGCAAGGGAGAGAAAAACTAAAAGGAATCCAAATTATTGCTGYCCACAGGGGCCAGTTCACAGCCTTTAGGACAGCAATAGGTTATTTTGAAGGTTGTCCTCCTTAAAGCATCATTTTGGGAAAAGGGGACAGGACAGGGAGAAAGTGCCCGAACAAATGAGCCAGTGCAATTCCTCCCTCGGCTCTCAACTCCAGCAAGGAAGAGCAGCACGATCTCTCCCAGGAAAGCTTCTCTCTCTTCCAAACAGCCTCCTGTTCCAGCAGAGCTGGAACTTCATTGTCCAAGCAGGGGGAAAGATTTAAAAAAGAATAAAATATCCCCAAAAAAGAACAAAAACGACACTTCACGAGAACTTCACAACGTACGTTTTAAACGGAGTTCAGCTACACAGTCGCTGCACCAAGGGAAGGGAAGGAAGGGGAGCCACGTTCCCCCTGCTTCCCCCAGCCTCCCCAAGGCCACCACATCAAGATGCAAATAACTTCAGCCATAAGGTGGATGATTTAATGAACAAAGTACTTCCATTCATGCCCTGGAAAAAACAGGTACACTCAAAAAAAAAGACAAAAAAATTAGATTTTCTACATATTTACAAAAAAAAATAATAATAATACAGCCCCACGACCTCGCAACCAGGGAGGCGGAGTGGCCGCTGATGGGAAGGGGTGTCTGCCCAAGGAGCAGTTCCTCGAAGGTTCCCGTCCCGGAGCGGGCAGGAGAGCACGGCTCTCGCAGCCRGAGGGGAGGACGGCGGGGAGCCGGCCACGCCGCGGCGTCGGGTCCGGGCTCCTCAGTTCATCCGCAGCTTGGCGTCCCGGTGATCCGTGGGGGTCACCATCTCGTTGGAGTAGCCGTTCTCCGAGCAGAGCGACAGCTCGTCCGTGTTCTCCACGCCGTTGTTGATCTCTGGGCGAGAGCAGAGAAGGGGAGATGCTGTGAAAGCGTCAATAAAACATAAAATAAAGGCATCAAAATAAAGAGAAAATCCTGGATGGTTCATGACCTTCCCCCCTGGACAGTGAAGGAAGAACTGAAGCATCAAGTAGTTGTACATAGAATGAGACCTCTAAGACCCATAGGGATTTCCCCCTAGAAACAGAAATATTTGAAAATACTAGCTTTAGAAATATTGTCCTCTATGTACACTCACTTATGCCCAATCTGAACAGGATTTCCAGCAGGATCTCCCCTGTGCATCTCATGTCCTGATKATCCCACTGCCACCATAAGAGATGGAATGGGACTGCTACATATGAGATGAGTCAAATTGCTTAAAACTTAACTATGCAACCTTTATCTCTAAGGGCATTTTTAATGTTGAGAGCATTTGCGGGAAGGTTCTCTCATTCTGGGCTGACTGGATTTACTTCCAGTTTCCATTGCCTTTGGAGGGCAGACTCAGGTCTGCAATTCATGCAACACACTTTTTGGAGCAGGACTTTTCCATCTGCTTTGCGTGGTAAAATGAACCTGATCCCTACCTGATCTCTAATACAAAGAAAACCTGTAAGACYAGCAAAACCAAACACCATGGGGAGAGGCTTCACATTCCTTAAAATGCATTTTTTTTYATCCTAACGAGCACCACGGAAGGAACCAAGATGTGCTAACGTACCTCAGTCTCCAAGAGGAGCACGAGGACATCAGAAAACCCTTGATCTCTAGTGCCTCTGAGTGCCAATTCCAATACAAAGTCGCCACCAGTATTTGTGGTGGCTTACAATGTTTTGGGACATTGTTATTTTAGTGAGTTTTACAGGTGCTCTCCCCCTCCATCAGCAGAGAGCAGGGTGACAGCAAAGGGACAGAGGRCTCCTGCCTTGCCCTGTGGGTACCTGAGAAGATCAGCTTCTCCTTCATGATCTTGACATCCCTGCTGGACCTGCGCACAGCAGCGCTGAGCATGATCTGCTCCGGGTTGTACGTCCTGATGCTTCCCAGGCGCCACCTGCAAGAGAAGAGGGGGATGTCACAAGCTGGTCCCCCCCAACCTCAGGAGTCTCCTCAAAGCAAGTGGCCACCAGTCTGGAGACTGGTAAATCCCGGACACCCTCACACCTTTGCTCCCTTGCGTCTACACAACAYCCACATGATGGGCGAATATTCAGAGATGAGAAGGAGCATGGTATCTCAGAGGAGTTTAGGCATAAACACTTGGTTTTCAGCTTCTTGGACTTCTCAATTCCAGCAGTCCACAAATATCACCAACCATCACAGCATCTGTGAACCAACCTGCTACTCAACTGCCTTAAGGGATGACGACAGGTGARCTGTATTGATTCCCGAGGATGGGAAGAGGGAGAGGAACACAAGACTGGGCCAAGTAAAGAAACCATGACCTTTTCTCCTGTGTGATGTGCTCACATTTGCGGGAGGAGAGCACACAAAGATAAGCTAAGGTCTGAAACTGGAGACACRCAGCAAAGACACCGGCACAAGCCGCTCTGAAGGAAAATACAAGCAGTCTCAACACAGGTGGCTGTCAAATAAYGTGCCCTTGAACACAATTCCTCTCCAGAGCAGTTCCCTTCCCAAATGCTGAGGGATCTTTGCTTAAATGTCCTCATCAACTCCTCTACTCAGCCAGAGTGGGCTTGAGCCTGGAAGATAGGGAGAGATGAAACCCATGCTACCACATTGGGTCCAGAGGCCTGGTACCTACTTCTGCCCCCAATACATGGCAAACTCAGCACTAGCAAAAAGTTTCTACCACGTGAACAATATGAGGAAGCTGATGGGATCCTGGCTACAAGTTAAAAGTCAATCTTTTTTGTTCCCCCCCCCCATTACTGAATAAAGAAAATTGATGCTGTTAGCAATGAGTGGCAGCAGCAAGTTAAAGGGGACTTTGTTTTCAAAGCTCTTTCTCAGCCTGGGAGCTCTCTGATCACACAAAGAGCTTTGGCTGCAGATCTGCTAGAAGACCAAAAGAAGGGCTATTGCAGGGTTGTGAGGATAAGCAGACCCAAAGAGGCCATACCCAAGATCACTCCACAAAGAGATGCTCCTCAGGCCATGCTTTCCYAGATCAGATCCCACCTACTCTTCCCACCTCCTGACCAAGACAAAGGCTACCCGCCTCGTGTCCGTGGAGAGTTGGGGGTGGTTTTTACGATTTCTGGTATTTTGGCACCATCTAGTGGCTCACTCGCACAAAAGGAGGTGAATTCCAGGGGGAAACCACCTTCTAAATTTCTAACTCCCTTCTCAGTCCTAGTTCCAAAAGATTTAAAGGCATCCAAAAACATCTCTGTGTTGGCCTCACAGCATCAGTCTGAYGAAACAACATCCATGGAAGAGTTTCTGCAGTTTCCCCAGGAAAATCTAGCTGGCAGTGGTCTTATGGGGTCCCAATTCCCTTCCTAAATCCCTACAAGTAGCACTGTCAGGCTCTGACCAGGCTATGGATGAAGGCTGCTCTGCTACAAAGGGAAGAACGGGTGGGATGCCAAAGCTGCACAGTGGACAGCCCCACAGACAGACGCAACACAGAGGAAGCACAAGGAGGTGGAGAAGCCACTGAAGCCTAAAAAGATTGAAATAAGAAAATAAAAATGTTTTGTTTCCGTCATTATCTAAGCTGAGCCACACAATGGCTTGGAAGAAAAATGTTTCTGCTCTTGGTGCCCCATGTAGCTCCTGGTACCATCAATGGCATTGTGAGCACTCAGGAGCTTGAAGGATCAGATCCTCCTAAACTATAGCCTAGAGCAAAATATATTGCCGAGACCTCCTAGGGGTCCAAGAAGGAATTTCACCTGCAGGTAAGAGAAGCAGAGCAGGGTTCACAGCTGGGATGCGTTTGCAAAGCAGAAAACATCCAAGGAGCAACATCAAAACCACATCAAATAGGCAGGGATGGGGCTGTTGTTATTTTAGCTTCTGTGTGGCAGCTCCAGAAGGAAATCAGGCTCTCAATAATCATCCCTCTTTTCAGRGGGTATCTTGAAATATTTGCTTAGGACAAGAGTCCTAAATGCCACCAGTGCATTCAAGTGTGATGCAGCTCCAGCTAATGCCATACAAAACATTGCAAGGATTAGAGTCAGGAGGCTCTGGAGATCCAGAGAGCATATTTACTCTAAAACAGCACCTCTCCTACCAGCTTGGACACTGCTTTTATCATGCAGGGTATCATGTAGGATAGTAGTGTACAGAAAGTCCAGGCCAGAGGAGGGCTGAGAGAGCAGGTGGGTCTTGTTCTGACACACAGGCATCAAAGCAGACCAGGTGGACGTGAGATGGGACAGGCAGAAAAAACACGAGGGCAGTGACACACAGCACACACCATGTTAGGGCAACAACTTTAGTTTGGAGATGTCAAAAAGCATGGAAAGGTCTGGGAGAGGGCAGGTTGGGAAGAACCCAGGGGTAGATTGGTACCGTGGGGAGAGATGGAGATGAGCAAAGAGCCAAGCAAGCCACAACCAGAGAGCATCCTCATCCTGCTACCGCTCTCATCTGAAGCGACCTGACTCCTTCCATGCCTTTCTCCCCTCCTTGCCTGTGTGGACACGCCAAGAGCAAGAAGAAGGACAAGGGGACCCAAGGAGGGCTCAGGAGGCCCCATTTTGAAGGCAACACAAGGTCATGGTGCTGCAGAACATCCTTCTGCAGATTGACGTTGGGTGCGCGAGTCCCGGGTAGGCAATACTTACAGGTGGCCAACACCAGCCCCAAGGTGTTGGGTGGGTAGAGGGGCACGCAAGCGCACACAYAGAGTAGCTGTTCCTCAGAGATACAACCCCATCGCTCAAAGCGAAAGGAATGGAGAAGGTAACACACAGAGAAGTTGGTCCGAGGACAGAAGTGGTGAAGGCTTCACTGCAGAAAAAGGATAGAGCCTCTCTCCAAGGGGAGAAAAGCTACCAGGGAGAAAACAGCCAATATAAGGAAAAATCTGAGCTTCAAATTTAGGGGTCTTCAAATTTAGGGGTCTTCAAATTTAGGGGTCTTCAAATTTAGGGGTCTTCAAATTTAGGGGTCTTCAAATTTAGGGGTCTTCAAATTTAGGGGTCTTCAAATTCAGCATCCCAGGCTCACTGCCTTCCTAGTGCRATGCAATTTATTTTCATACTGTATTAACAGTTTTGCAGTGGTGTAACTGGGAAGAGGCTCCTGAAAGATCCCAAGCTCAAACAGCTGCAGCAACGGGGGAGCCAAACCTTTTCATTCCCCACTGGTTCTTCCCCAGGGATGCAAAAATGATGGTCTGTGGACCTGAACAAGGTTRCATTTTTCTTTACAAGCCTTGAAGCTTCACTGGAGGCAGCACAAAGCCTGTTACAATAGAGTATGGCACTGCTACTTCAAAGGTAGAAATCAGAAAAATCCAAAATAATCCTTTTCCCTCTCTTAAAAGAGTAGAGCATGGATGGCTCCCGGTGTTAAACAGGGATTTTACCACCAAGAGGGAAAGGGAATGAAACATAGGGGCACAGAAAAGTCCCAGCTTCTAAAATCTGCTCCTACATCATGTGCCTTGGGTAGCTGAGCACACCATGACAAACTCGCTGCTCATCTCTAATCATTTTAACATATCAGGGCACACAGGCAAAAGTCTCAAATTTCAATGGTAATTCCATCCTAGTGGAAATTAGTGAGGTTAGATGTCCAAGTTAGAGTAGGATGGACTCAGCACTTCTGGTGAGCACAGCAAGGAGTGTGATTTTTTGCAGTGAGATCATTTCTGTGTGGAAAGCGCTACATCCATGGGCAGTTTCCCAATTACACCTCGCTACAGGATATTAGAATTGGCCAGTTTTAAAAGGCAACATCTTAGATGAAGGTAACAGAAAACATGAGATTGCCTTCAAAACACAGCAACAGGTTCTCATGATGTTCGTGACTACAGACCATGCAGTGTTCCGACTCTGTGACTTCCATGGTCCCATGTGAAGCCAGATGTTCGAAAGCATCATTAAAAGCTGTGTTCTGCCCTGTCTATCTGCAGTGAAGCCACAGCAGAGAGGGAGAAAGAGAGAGAAAGGAAGGTTGAATGAAAAAGAGAAAGAGGAGGAAAGCACCAGAATTACCTGATCATGTGATAGCTGTGAGATGCCAGAATGCAGCAGAGAGAGAAAGAGGAGGAACATGCACAACAGTCAGAGCAGTAAGAAAATAAACAAGGCAAAGAGGCAAAAAAGATTGGTTAGAAGTCATCACAGTCGTATTTCCCCTGCAGAGAGGTTGCACGGATCCTGTCACCAGGGCTGAAGCAGAATAGCATGAGCAGTTCCTACCCACAACTACGGAAGAGAGAAAAGCCATGCGTAGGAGAGAGGACGAGCACATCGAAGCGGCGGCTCTGTTCCCACCCACCCCCTCGTCCTTGCGTGGAGGAAGCAGCTCTCATTTTGCCCCAGAAAGGATTTGGAAAACAAAAAACAAAACAACACAACAACAAAGAAAAAAAAAATAAAATAAAAATTAAAAAGAATGATGTGCTTAAGGCCAAAGGCCAAGCTCCACTTCCCAGATCTGAGTCACATCAGCAGGTAGCTGGGCAATTCTGCGCAACCAGGTTTTTGGTATATCCTCAACACAACTAACAACACTTCCAACGTGGTGGTGGAGTCACTCATAGCAGGGAAATGGGTCTCTCCTGATGGAGTACACAGGGCAGGAGCTCTTGGAAAAGTTAAGTCTCTTCCATTTAATTCCATTGCTCAATCTCTCTGGGCAAATGCTTTCCTATGTGACAGATCCAGAGGCTGGGCTGAAGCGCTCAGTGCTGAAGGAAAGCTGGTGGCAACTTACAAGCGTCCTTGACTGCATTAGATTTACCCCGAGAGTGGGAGACAGATCCCACAATATTAATAATTCTTTCATCCCTTACTCTGCTTCTCACTGTACTCCCATCAAACCACTTCTAAATCAGAATAAATTCAGTCCATGCAGAGAGAGAAAAGTCAGCTATTGCATAGGTCTCATAGCTGCAACTTCTCTGCAAGCATGCATCATTTCATCCTCTTTYGGGACCTGTAGCTCATATTCACCAATTCGAATCAGTTTAATTTCTTCATCTACGGTCTCCTGGGCCAGATTCAGAAAGCCTGCTAAAAAGCACTTCAGGGGATGACAAGAAAGACTCTACCCACATCCTGTCACTTTAGTCTTCATGTTCTGCTCTCAAGAGCAATACGAGTCCCATCTCTTCCTCCAGACTCCTCAGTGTATTTTTATATCCAACTGAGCAAGAAAGGGCTTGAAGAGAGGGGAAATCTCTTAGACCAACTGAGGAATTTGCAGGGGTAGAGAAAGCTTTCAGACATCACAGTTATGATGCTGTTTGGAATTAAGGCCTTAATTGGCTGCAGTTCAAGTTATGAGGCTTTTTATTGCAGCTCAATACTCCTCAGCCCATGTTACAATATGCATTTTGAGGGTAAGGCATGTGTTTCAGACCTAAAATCACCCAGAAAAATAAATCTAATCACATCGTCCATCTCACTTTCATGTTGGTTTCATAAAATGCTAGGAATTCTAATCTGAAAGTTGAGTTTTGAACCTGCCTCTTGCTCCATTATCCAGTCAGGGAGTCTGTGACCTGCCAGGCACAGCTCCACCAACCTGGAGCTACCTGAGTAATGATTTCAAAGGGATATAATTATAACAGAGCCAAATACATCTGACGAGGTAAGACAGGCCCAAAATCTTTTGTCTGAAACCTAGACCCCATAGAAGGGGGAGGCAGGAGCAATAGTCTATTGTCATAGGGAAAATAGACTATTGTTCCCAGGAAATTACCCACCCTGAGGAAGGAAGCTGCAAGGAGAGTCATAGAATGGYTGAGGTTGGAAGGAACCTCTMGAGATCATCCAGTCCAACCCCCCTGCTCAAGCAGGGGAATTTCTCCCAAGAGAACACRTCATCTGGAATGAATGATTGAATCTGAAATGATGAATGAATCATTCCAGATGACGTGTTCTCCTGGGAGAAATCTACTGCTTCTCTCACAAGAGARCTCACCTCTGTCCTTGAGCTCACGCTTTCCCAGAGAGGGTTATTATGTTGTCATCACCCACAGTTAAAATGACTCTTGGGAAGAAGTCACATCATCAGGAGGACACCGTGGTTTCCTCCAGAATAAGCCAAGGGAGGGCAGTTTGGACACCTCTACCATTAGGAAGCTGATTTATCTCTTAGCAGTTTATCAACGTCTCAACTTACCCTGCTGCTACATTTTCTGCTTCATGCTCATTTTCAGGAATCCAGGACAGCTGAGCAAGGTTTCTGCCATGCCCTCGTTAAATCCTCGTTCTGTTCTCTACCTTCTTTGGGAAAATGAGGAGACTTTCTCCTAGCCTCAAACTAATGTCAATATAGAGAACTGCTTTGATCTGCTAAATCATAATAATTACCTAAAAATGTCTCTATTTCATCTTTCAAATGGAAACAAACTGATTAAAAAAATTCCCGAGCTTCTTAAACTAAAGCATGTCCTTGAAAACTATAATCATCAAATCTCAAAATATTTCCCCTTCTTCCTTCAGAATATTTAAATCTTCCTCAGTGTCCTTTTCCCAGAATATTTACAACTTCTCTCCCACACAATTATGAGTCTATCACTACTATTTGGAGATCTCCCACTCTTCTCAGCAAGAAGCAGCAGTGACTTTACCCAGCTCAATATCTTATCTCGGAGGTGGAAGGAACGTGCCACAAATACATAAAGGAGTTGAGTCGTAACAACATTACTTACTTCTGGAATATAAAAACTCCTACAATTACGATAAATGAAATGAGATCAGATGTGATCCAGATTAGACGGTACTCGTCTGGAGGCTAGAAGACAAAAAAAAAAAAAGAATAGAAATAGACCTTATACCTTTTTGTTTACATAGCCACACACAGATCATGTATTGTCAAGTTATAACCAGGACAGAGAAATACCACAAACCTTGTGATTTACATGTGAGCCCCATAGCTCTGTTTGAATGTTAGCATGGCACAAAAAATGACTTCATCAGGAAAGACTGCAAACAGGAACAGTTTTAAAACTCTCCTTTCATGCACTCCCATTTCCTCAAGGCTTTGTGAATTGAAAGCTTCCTATCTCATCTGTACCTCTAGGTGGAGTAGGATGCTATTTTTGTAAATCCAAGTCAGTGGGACAAAAGAGAAAATAATTTCTAATAAAAATATATTTTATTATTTATTCTAATAAAATATATATTATATATAAAATACATATATATAAAAAAACCACACTCTGCACCGGAGATATTCAGGCTCCATTTTGAATGCTTTGCTAGAATAAACACTCCTTATTCTGATGTCCAGGCCAAGTTTATTCTGCTATTTGCAGCTGAGCGCAGTCCTTGCAGGGGATGGGAGCCCTCTGTACTTTAAGCATATACTTTCATTTTTTGTCCTTTAACACACAAGTAACTCAGCAATTTTAAGTTGTTCTGGCTCCATTTACTAGTTTTCTAGTTTAAGTGACTATCACCATTGCATCAACTAACTGTATGGACGTAGCATAGGAACATGCTGCTTCACATTTGCTTTTGTGCTGCCCAGGAAGGAGAAAGCCAAAAGACAATGATGTCTGAATGAATAATGAATGGTAATGAATAATAATTGACTCCTGATGATGCTCAGAGGGCACCTACTGGGGAACACCATCAGTGATGGCTGATCAACTTCTGCTTTGCCAATCCAAGCCTAAAGAACATGGTCCCAAACAGGAAAAAAAAGTGGCTGACTTCAGACCATAGACAAATCCATCATAGTCACAACACCAGAAATAATGCACACAAGTAATATTCCATTAGAAAAGTACAATCCATAATGCAAGAAGGTGCATCATGGTAGGGTGATATGGGTGAACATGGGTATGAAGCCATCAACTGAGCTCACTTCATCCCCTAGARCAATAAAGCTCGTTTTCTACTCTGCACCTCTTTATGGATTTCAATTTGTACTGTGAAAGCACACTGCAGAATTAGCAAAGTGATGCTCAAATTAGCCAGTGCGCCTCATGGAGATTTAATCTTTGTATTTTCCAGCTTAATTATGGAAGGGTGACATCTAACATGGTGTTGACATTGCATGAAGGTCTGGCTGTACATGCATTGTATCTATTAAAATAAATAGATACAAATTGATTGCATTCCCATTTGCAGGAGGATGTAATCATAACAATTTTCCAGAGCAGAAGAAACTCTACACACTCAATTTTTTTTGTTCTGTGCAAGTAATGGAATTATATAGTGGAAGACTTTTCATCGTTTTCTTTTCTGTGTGGCAAAAGTTGCATTTTGCACATGTATACCCAGTAATAGGTAGACATGAACTCAGCTTTCTGGGCAGTAAACACCAACAGCTTCTGTTGAAAATTATAGTTTTTTTTAAAAAAAGTCCTTCTAAAAGCTTAAATCTATCAGTTTTGGTACCAAATCAAGGCTTTATGAGCTACTGATCTACAATTGCAAGACACTTAATAAAGGAAAAATTGGATTTTTTTTTCCAAAGGCACATATCCAGCAAACAGACACCCCCCATAGCTCTGCTGAGGAGAGCAGAGGTGAACATAYGTAAGGAATACTTTGCTTACATTTTATCAAATATGTATAAAATGTTTTATCATTTCTCATTTGCTATGATCTCACACACAAATATTTCTACGTGGTTCAGGGATCCAAAATGCTATCCAAGTTTTCAGAGAGTTAGGTGGCTATAAGATGGACAAGGGGACTGCTTTTGGTCTCTCCCTGTACTTGTTTAGCAGTGGAGTAACCATAAGTAAAATTCTTCTCCTTTTTAAAGAAGAAAAAAAATGGAAAAAAAAAAAAAAGGTTATTTTATGTAAGTCAAGTATCTGTTTCTCTTGCAGCTCAAAGTGYTACTCAGCTCATCTGGAAAGGTTTTTTCATTGATAGAAAATGAGAAAAAGCACATGGGCTAAATGGGACACACAACAGTCTCCAAAGCTCCCAGACTCTGCACAGGAAGAGACTGAGGCCAACTGAAACAAGGGGTCACACAGGAGATCCATTGCCAGCCCAGGGCACAGACATKAGAAGGTAAAACTCCCAAGCCCAACAACGTGTTGAAACCAACCAAACCTTCCTGAAGGAATCCACCATGGTAGACAGCCAGCTTTCCACCTCCTCATGGTGTGACCCCAGGTGTCCTGCTTACCATGAGCCAGATGGGAGAAGGCACCTTGCGAAGGACGTGGGAGCTGTCGGAGGTGACTGACTGGACACCGGCGCACCACAGGATGGAGAACAGCCAGGGCTCATTCACAGTGTAGAGATTCACGCTCAGGTTCGCTGTGGCATAGTCCCTGCCAGGAGACAAGCAGACAAGGAGGGGTTATGGCTGCAGCAAGAAACTGGGCCTCTCACACACTTCATTCCARTCACAGAATCATTATGACCTTCAAAGATCATCAGATCAAAAAAGACCTTCAAGATCATCAAGTCCAACCATAAACCCTTCAACACCATGCCTGTTAAGCCCCTAACACATGTCCCTAAGTGCTTCATGTACATGTTTCTTGAATGAAAGAGGARAAAGCTCTCAAAGAGGTTGCCAAAGCTCTTGCCAACAGCCAGTGTGATAATGCTGTCTRGATTTATTGGGTTTTGATTGCAGGACCTAAGCTTTCTATAGGGCACAGTTGCTTCACAAGCAACCAGAGGACACTGCAATCAAATGAGTTGAACTGAAAAGGTTTTTTCTCCTCTCAGCCAGAGGTACATCCCATTTCCGACAGTTACTCAACAAAAAATTCCATTTTTCCTAATGACTGTCTCATCATGTTGATGAAAATTAACATCTGACTCAGACACCCGTAACACTAAGTAATTTACTGAATTGAAAACCRACAGACTGCATTTCCAACATCACTTCCCACAATCCTAATTCCCCTGCTCTAAGGACAGTCGCAGGGTCGTTGCTTCCAGTSTTACAATCTTTAGTCTCCAAAGAACATTTTCCTCTTAAAGCTGGTGTACAGGACCCACTGACAGTAATCCAAGAACTAATGCTGCGCTCTTCCTGCCCAACAATTCACACATCTTGTTGGATTTCCTTATCTACAAAGCAGAAACATCACTAATCTGCCTCATATGAGCAGCACAAAGATTAATACTTGCAAATTAGTATCTGCAACTTGCAAATTAGTATCTGCAAAACACTTTGAGGAAAAAAGCTGCTGTACAAGACATGGACATCTGAAACAACAGCAACATGATCAAGCTGCTCCAAGAGCATCAGGACTTTCAAGGGCAGAGTCAGTCACAGTGATGTCATGGCAAGACAGTGATTTTTGGGGGCCGAGAACTGTGTTGGACCAGGGCTTGTTGAACCTGCTCTGAAAGCAGCTTCATATTAAGGCTCGTGTTGCAGAACTGCTAAGATACTTGACTGGACACAGCTCAGGCCAAAAAATACTCAGGGATGATTTTAGAGGCAGCTCAGCTAGGATGGGTAGATAGATGACCGTGTTGGATGTGTTCCTTTCCATGAAACAGAGGAAATAAGTACAACAGGTAGGATTATCCTTTAGATGGAACACAGACCTGGTTCTATGGGCAAGCAACTAGACTGTGGGCTGGTACCCACACCAAATAGGAYTACACACTCAAACAGCTCTCTAGGTTCAGCTTTTCACTTCTCCCATGTCCTCAGGTACAGTAGGACAGGTTCTGTAAAGACATATTTCCTCTGAAAACCTGTTTAATTTTTAGTTATTTCTTTAAAGGATAAAGCCAAACTCCAAAAATATAAAAGCTCTGCTAGAGATAATCCACCTTTCCTGATGCAWGAAGAGAGGGCAAAGCTTCAAGCTAACACACTGCACATTTCAAATACACACTCAGGTGGAAGGAGGAAAGCCCGTGCTGTGCCATTCTCAAAGAGGAAACCATACTATCCCAAATAGGTAACAAGGGCAGCCTTGAAATCRGTGAATTTTCTGCAAAAAGAATTTTCTAAAAGCAAACCCAGACTTTGGACTACTCAAAATCCTGCAGTAACAGCCCTGAAGCAGAATAGACGTTAAAGGCAGCTGCTAATGAGGAGAAAACTGCAGTCTGAGGTAGTAAGTGTGAGAAGCCTCAACTTCTTTCAGAGATGACAGTGGAATAAGAATCAGATAATTCCTATATTTGTATTTCACAAAGACTCATTATATCCTGAATTAATATGCAGAGTTTATAGAGTCAACTGCACACTTCCAGGAACAGCCCAGATTTGGCTGGATGAACAAGGACATCTTTACACAACTCAAGCTTTTAAACACATTGAGTTCATCCCGAAGGAYACCTTTGTGCAGAGAAGGCAGCTCAGGGCAATCAGGAGAAAGAAGAAAGCAGAAAGGAGCTGGGATGCATATGGGGAAACAAGGGATGCACGGAGCAAAGGGGCAACCACACAGTGTCCAAACACAGCGCAGTACCTGACGTCCTCATTTGTGACCTTGGTGTAGCGCAGGTTAAGTTTCACGATTCCCTTCTCTTTCATGCGCCGCGTATCCAGCTTGAGGCCAGAAGTCTGCTGGAAACCCGGTGCGATCCGTTTGACCAGCTGCCGCTCCGCATCCGGCAGCCACATCACCTGCGGAAGGAGGGATGGAGACGGAGAGSGTGCCTATTGCAAAGATGGCTCACAAAGCGGGTAACATGAGGCAAAGAAGCTGTTTAGACCAAGAAGCAAAAACCACGTCAAGCACTTTGCCTTATCTGTCATACAAATTGGCTTGGAGACACTTAGAACCCCTCACATCTCTACTCAAACACATCTCAGGATGACTAGCAAGCCAAGACGGCTCTAATGAACAAAAAAACCCCAATACTTTCGCTTCTAAAAGATGGTTTGAGATAGAAAGAGGTCAGGCAAAGGCCTCATGAGAAGCAGCATAGCCTATCCCTTAAACCCTGTCCTCCTTGTCCAATTCTGGGCACAGAGAGAATTAAGAACACGAAGCTAAAATCAACAGTGAATGCAAGATGTAGTGAAGAAGCCTGGCACAGTGCCAGGGTTGAGATTAATTTTACTCAACCCTTTTCATCAATACCACATCTGCTCAAACACAGAGCGAGGATTTCTGTGGATTCATACCATGCTTTGAACAAAATGTGTCAAATCAATTATGCTTAACACCCTTGGCTGAGGGATATGAAGTAGATGTAGAAGCCAAGCTGGGCAGTTTTATAGCTTGTGTCATGCAGAGACTGGGCCAGATGATTTCAGTAGAGCCATGGGGCATTGCATTGCTTTAGCCCGTGTTTAATAGCTCATCAGCATTCATTTACCAAGGCCAGAGGCCTTTTTAATAGGGAACCCAAGTGGGAGACTTCAATTTGCCTTATATGATACATCTATGTTTCAACTATTATATCCTAACCTCCCTCCAACTATGCTGTATCCAAGAAGGAGACAGCACACACAGTCTTCCCAGAGATCTGGCAGAGCAAGCAGCAAGTACTCGCCTGTCACTGCAGCCTCAGAGTTAATTGGAAATTAGGTAGCAGTTATTAGAAAGACAGGTGAAAGTCAAAAGTAGCTCCATTCCCTTCYGGCCCCATCGTTGCACAAGTTGGAGTGCTGAACATTCCCAATTTTCTGTGCATACAGATGTAAATAATTGGTATAGATGAAATGTCTAAGCTGCAAGTGATGCAGTTGCTGTGCTCACCAGCCTCCCTGACAACTGCATTTCACTCTCCTGACGTAAACCTCAGTGATTATCTGTCTTCTCAGCGGCTTCCTCATAGGTATTGAGCAGCTGGTCTTAGGTCTCCCCAAAGACAACTCTTCTCCTGGTTGAGCAAACCCAGCTCTCTCAGCCTCTCCTCATACATCATACATTCAACTCCTGACAAGTTTGGTTGGCTCTGCAGGATTTGCCCCAGTTTATTAATGCCTGTCTCATGCTGAGGAGTCCCACCAGTCCCGCTTCCTCCTGTTCCTAAACTCTTAGGCCCAACRTGGCCAACTCATTTGCCCAATTTCCACAGAACTCACAGCCTGCTGTCGAATCCCTGATGCCAGGATAGTTTCCAGGGTGACGTTGATGTAGGTGCTGTAGTAAGGATGAGCAAGTGGCAGCTCCTGGAAGTTCAAGATGACCGATGCATTGTCCTTCACCACCTCTAACATATCTGCTAGCTTGCAGACTGACTGGTTGGCAGCTTCCAAGTAGTCAGAGCGTGAGAGAGACCCGGCCGTCCAGAAAGGGTCATTCTGAAAGCAAAGCACATCCCAGTGTTACTACTTCAGAGCCCAGATGGCCCCAGAACCAGTGGAGCATCTTTGCCACACAACCTGGACAACAGCAGGCAATGCTGGCAGCTCCACTCAATGCCTGTTTTTGCAGTTTGCCCAAGTGTTTCCTCAATCCAGCCCCATTCCTCAGTTTCTCAACCCAAGGGTAGGTGGGAGATCCTTACTGAAAGTAAAGTATGCCGTGCTGATCCCCTCCATTTCCAAGAGGACAAGTGAATTACAGGGTAGTGGTCAGAAGCAGGCAGTGACCAGAGATACAAAGAAAATAAGGAAATAAAAATGAGGAAAATGAGGAAAAATGAAGAAGTAGGATCAAAGAGCAGGAATTAGTGGTGTTGACAGAGGAGGTGGGTAAGAAGTAACAGCCTGCCCTGGGCACCAGCTGAGCTTTTATACAGGGCTAAGGGCACTCAATGCAGTTTGCAAAGAYAGTAAATACACTTTCCTACATTGGGTAAGCTACTGCAAAGGATTTTCCAAGACAGAATTAAAACAAAACAAACACAGCTATTGTATAGCATTGCATAGCTAAGAGTGAGCAGAGATGACTTACCTAGGGATTTGGGATAGGTCTAACCACCTCTGCTCTCCTAGGGCAACCCTTTTCAGTCCAGCCTTTCTCTTAGAAGCAGTCATTTCACCATTTAAATTCAGGATGACTCTCCACCTTCCTCCATTAAGTGCTCTAGCTCCTTCAAAGCTGAGGGACTAGGTGAATGGGGACCATCCAGACTTAAGGATGTTCAGGAATGAATCCGTCTCAAAGAGCCAAGGACACCCTCCAGAGCTGCTCTCCAGCTCTCATCTCAGCCCTTCTCACCTGGCAGGAGACAATTCCACTCCCACAACCACAGCTGCAAGCCAACTGAGTTTAAAAGCTGCCCTACAAGCAGCATTGTGCCCATTTCTGCAGCCCTCCAGATCACCATTCTTCAAGAGGGTTAAGGCTGCAGCCCCAAAAACAGCTCAGCAAGGAGAAATCACACCTACAAACTGGCTGCACACTGAAGGACAGAGCAATTCCTTCCCCCTTGGGCTCTGAGTGAGGCATTTCCTGCTTTTCTTCTTTTCAAGACAACTGCGTCCAAAATCAATTGAGGTAAAAGGAAGAAAAACACAAATTTGGTAGGGAAAAAAAAGTCATTTCCTAAGGTGAAAACATCCTTCTTCCTTGCTTGGCTCAGCATGTAATCCTAAAAAGATGCTCTAGCAGAGGAAATGCAGGATGCTATGGTTTGGACACAACCAGTAAACAGTCCCTGTCTACTCTCTGCTGCTGGGAGGGCGAGAACCTGCTCTCACCACTCAGCCCAGGTAAAGGGCATCCAACAGACAAACGAGCAGACATTTGCCATGGAAACACAAGGTAAGAGCGGCAAGACAGAATGGCTGAGCTGCATATTGAAGTAATTAATTGCAAAAAAAWATGTGAAACCTGCTCTTAAATAGCAAGTCACATCTTGCTCTTAGCACCATTGCAGTCTCCTATCAAATACAGGAAAATRCAGCCACAAGTGGTGGTGTTGACACAGGTAAACTAAGAATCTGGTTGCAGATTCTGGGGGAATTGCAGAAGGAAGGCAGAAATGGCATCATTCAGAAGATGGATGGTTGTATATAATCATCTTTCTGTTTTCTTTATAATTGGGTTTCTCTTTTCACGATCTTGAAATTCCAAATGCTGTCAACCAGGCATCAAGCCCCTTCTCTTCCAGGAGATGAATGAGGGGCAGAAAGACAACGCAATCCCAAGTTGTAGCTCAAGCAGAGGACCAAGCACCCTGAATCCCAACCAGGGCTCCTGGAGGCTACCAGCATCATCTCAAGACACACATTAATATGTGGCAGCCCTGTAGGATAGGATGACAGCAAATATTTCACATTCATATTTCCCCATCACATAGGTGGGCTAGTCACACTTCAGAATACTTCATCAAGGGCATGGGTTTACACTCATACACCCTAAAGTGAATTTAGGTTTGCGCTTTCAACCTGTGGCCTTGGCGCAATCTCCATGACCTCACGCACCTGTAGGAACCACTCTCCAGCATTGAGCTTTTCCAGGTCAGTCCAGTTGAACATGGAGGAGTGCTCATAGGCCAGCTCTGGAAACACTTCCTCTACATTCGTTGTTCTCCTGAGTGTCTTGTCATGCATCAGAAATGGCACTCCATCGTAGCTGCAAAGAGAGTAAGAGCTCCCATTACCTGCTGGAGATGGGCAAACAGATTCAYTATACCAAAGAAAACACCACCTTCTCCCACAGCTTTGTAGGACTGCATCAAAATTACTGTCAAGATCTCAACCAACTTAGCACATCTGGTTGAAATCAAAGAAGTTTTTTTCCTCTGAGTCAATCTCATTTCAACTTGTCTAAGAATGCAATGTGCCCAAAGGAAAAAGCCTATTAGGAACTGAGCTAGCTGATTTGAAAATAGGGTGTCCACCCTTCCCTGCCAGCTTCCTATAGAGTGACTGGGAGCTCAACCCTATAAGGAGCCCATCTATGCACTAGGAGGCTTGACTAAGCTCTGAAAAGGAGAAGGGTTAAAAACCCAAGCTCACATGAATCCAATTAGGAGACAAGGCAGGGCATTCACCCTAGAGCTAAAGGGAGACCAAAAAAAGACCAATTTAGGATGATAAAGCAAAGACTGTCCCAGCTTTGCCACTGCTTGAAGGCGGCCCTTATCACAAAGGTCACTCGCATCTTATTTTCTATTTCTAGCATACATTATGCCAAATAACTTCCTCCCTTCCCTCCACTCGAAACAACGCTGACACAGCAACACCACACTCAGCAGCAAGCACTCCAAGCTGCTGCAATCAGAAGGGTTTTTAATAAACAGTGTTAAAAAAAGATATGCTAAGCCGCTGCAGAATTAGGAGYGTGGACTGTTTAAGTAAGAGCACTAGTCTCAGCATCTCTCAGGAGAGCATCATCAGATACTGCTAAGTCTTAACCACAGAGCAGAAATCCTACGGGGCATTTAACTTCACTCCTTCCAGCCTAATCCTTCCCCTTATGTGAATCACTCAAAACACAGTCCAGGGCTAACCGCAGTGTGTTAGCAGGTTTGAAAAAGTAATTCAGAGAAAAATCACAGCTTTAGAAAGAAAGGAGATGAAGGAAGAGGCAGAAGATGCGGCAGGATGGGATGTTGCTTGAAGTGCACCAATGCTGGCTCTGTAAGCAGGACCACCCAATTCAGGGTGCATACAGGGCACCCCTATTTGCCCTACTATTTGAGAAGGGACCCAACCATGGTGGGTACCCACATGGAGGAGGAACAAGTAGGAAGCAC